GTTACACTCTAGTAAACTTCTTTGCTGAACTTGCGTGTCACGAGAGTTTCTTTGGAGCTGAACGGGGTAAACTTTACACTCTACACTATCCAAGAAAGGAAGCAATTACTCACTTGCCTTCGTATTTAAAATCCCCTTTAAATGGCATACAAGCAATATAAATAATTGTAAATTAAAGTATCTTATTGTTTAACAACCCCAGTTCCCACCTGAGGGGCGTTGGTGGCAGCTCAGCCTCTTTGGCAGGTGTCTGGTGGCCACTCTGAGCTTTTGGGGTGCTTTCAGGGGAGCCGATGCTCTTGAGCGAGGCAGAGTCCGAGTCCAGCGCCACTGCTTTGGCTTTGGCCTTCTCCTTCTCCCTGTCGGTTTGATTCACTGGCCCTGGGGTGCTCCGACTGGTGCCTATTTTAGAGGGCTCCTTGAGGCGTGAAACAGAAATGCCCCCCTTGGTACTGAGGAGGCTGGGATCAATGCTGCTGCTGACAGGACGTGGGCCACTTCGCCCACCAGTGACGCTCATGGAGCTAGACTTGGCAGGGCGTGGCAGGCTCCGGTACTGGATGTTGGTGCGGGCCCCTGGTGCCATAAACCCAGGCTCCCCTGCATTAGAGACATCCAAGCTGGTTTTCCTGCCATTGACGGGCTTGACAGGAATACTGGAGTTCTTCTGGATCTTGCCAAGTGTAGCTGAGCCACCAGCTTGCATCACTGTGGCAGTACCTGTTGCAGGAGGGGGTTTCTTGTTGTAACCAAAGGAGCCAGCCGTGGTGGTTCGTGTAAGCCCAGAGGGAGGCTTCTTGGCATCTGAAAGCCGATCTCGGCCAGCATCGGAAGATGATCGCTGCAGGCCAGCATTTTTCACAAACAGCTTGCTTTTGTCTGTTGCTTTTGCTTCAGGCTTACCTGTGAAAGGGAGTATGTTTTCAAGGACGGATCAGGAAACAACATTTGGAATAGATATAGGAAAGGTATTCCTATACATAGATCTTTAGATGAGAAAAAGAAGTTATTCCTGTAAGTATAATGTAAGAGATGAATGGGATGGGTTACCTTCAGCTTAGGGCCAAAGTTTGCACATCAGCCTTCTGTATCTGGACAGCCAAATCCTACTTTTGTCCCCCCAAAGCCCCACAAGATGAACCTGATCCATTCCCATAGTCAGTGGCAGGTCATCAAAGAATCTGATACAGTTGCCTCACTGGAAACTTGTTGCCTTGAAATGCTGGGTGCAACTTGAGGCAGCAATTCTCCAGGAATGTCAAGACATATTCTTTTTTTTTTTTTCTGTGATCTAACCATAAATGCACAAAAGAAGAAGTGAGGTTACGTATAAGAGCCTTAATACTCAAACAGCAAACAAGGAAATAGGGTAATTTCTAATATTTTTTTTCTCAAAAAGGAAGAAAGAGAGAGATGTTTGCCATGCTAGCCCAGTGTAATTGCTAAGCTCCTTCCCTTTGGGTAGAAGATAAATAATTTACTCAAATCTAACACTTTGGAGTTCCATATATCATATGAGCTAGAAAACACTCAGAGGAAGGAGAGTGTAAGTTTTTTCCAATACAATGTCTTGTTGATAGCTCATCCCTCTACCTCCTAGAAAAAGCATAAATGGCCTATAAACATGTATAGCACTCAGATATGAGCACACCTGATAGAAAGGAAAAGTGTTGCCGCATTTGTCTACCAGTATCAATTACTCAGATGTAGTAATGATTGCAATTGCAACATTTTTGCTCAGAATAGCTTTCCTCATTCTGGCACCCTTGGATTCCAACTCCCCTAATCCCTCAATTGTAATACTCAGTTGCCATACTGCCTGGAAGATAATGGGAGATATAGTCTGAAACCAGAGCAGCAAATTGGAGGTGGCTGGCTTAGAAGTTTCTTATGACCACAATATAACTGAATATTCACTGAGGTGCAACTGTAGATTCATTACAGTTTTTGGCCTTCTTAATTCCCTAGAAATGGTTATGCACTCTTGCTTGGACTCTGAAGATAAATGGGAAGCAATTAGAAAATATAACAATAAGATTTCACTGCCAATCTCACCTGCCACTTTAAGAGTCTGGGCTGTGTGAGTAATGGGGGAGGTCACTGCCACAGGTGGTGTCTTGCCCTTCTTCAAGGAGCCTGGTGGACCCAAACTAACAGGCTTTTTCAGCTCCCCACCTTTGGCAGGAGCTTCATCACAGCTTTCAGAACGTTCCCGTCGCCACTTGGAGGAACTGTGCTCCATTTTCAGGCTCCCACTGTCATAGTCCATCTTCTTCTGGGTCTTCTCCTCTGGTTCACCATACCAGTTCAGTCCACTCTCTGCCAATGACCGTTTCTCAGAATCTGTGCGTAGCTACAAGGCAGAACACACTGTCAGTTGGACATTTCAGCCTTCCCATCTGTGATATTCCCCAAGATCACACATTCATCCACCTAGTTCAGAAATATTGTAACTTGGTGGCAATTCCATAGACCCTCAGTCCTATGTTTCTAACTAACTCTACCCCTGGTGATTCAAGCGATGCCATGAACTGGAGGCTGTGAGTGTTTGGGTGGGGAACAACAGGCTTCACTTGAACCCTGGCAAGACTCAGTGGCTCTAGGTTTAGGGCCCCATTAGTTCTGGGATTATGCTATCTTTGGTGCTCAGTGGGGTGGCACTACTCCAGATAGATCTGGTGCGCAATCTGGGGGTACTCCTAGACTCACGACTCCTGCTCAAGGAGCAGGTGGCAGTTGTGGCTAGGAGGGCCTTTGCACAGCTTTGTCTTGTGTGCCAGTTGCACCCATTCCTGGACCAGCAAGCCCTGCTTACAGTCACTCATGCCCTAGCCACCTCCAGATTAGACTACTGTAATTCACTTTACATGGGGCTAGCTTTGAAGAGTATCCAGAAGCTTCAGCTGGTACAGAATGCAGCAGCATGGGCAGTTGTGTGTGCTCCTAGAACAGCACATATTACACCTCTGCTCTGCGAGCTGCATTTTGCTTCTGGGTCCAATTCAAGGTGCTGTTTTTTAACCTTTAAAGCCGTTCATGGCATGGGATCAGATTATTTGAGGGACCGCATCTCTCTCACTACATCAGCCCATCCCATCAGATCTAGCAGAGAAAGCATGTTGAGGGTACCATTAGTTAGGGAGATACATTTGGTGGGTCCCAGGCATTGGGCCTTCTCTACTGCAGTGCCCACCTTGTGGAACATTCTTCCCCCCAATATTAGATTAGCCCCATTCCTTTTGACTTTCTGGAAGTCCCTCAAGACCTGTCACCAGGCCTGGGTCTCTCAGGGAATTGGAGACATGCTTAGATGGCTCCATTGCTGAGTTAGCTATCCTTATTCTCTCTTGCCTAGGGTTTTTATAGGATTTGTATAGTTGTTTTTTAAATCATATTTATCTTTTAATATTGATTTTTATATTTTTATATTGATTGTTTATGTATGTGTTGTTTATATTGGATTGTTGTAAGCTGCCCAGGGTCATTTTTCTGTGAGATGGGCAGCTATACAAATTTGATTGATTGATAAATCAATCAATCAATCAATCAATCAATCAATCAATCAATAATCCTCACAGTGGCCATACCAAGGGCTAGCCTAGAGCTTTCCTGCATTTAAAGCACATATTTCATTGCTTAGCTGCAGCTCTTATACTATCAAAGCCTCCAAAGCCTTTCAAAGCACTGAAGAAACATCTGCAGAATCAAATTTTATTTTGAAAGGCACAGACCCCTCCTGCATTGAAGGACAGAATTCAGAGCAAGCATTTAGTATCTGCTGGATTTGCATTTTTATTCTTCATAATAAGCAACACAGCATATTAGATGAAGATAGGCAGAATGGTTCTACTGAAGTCAGCGTGGCCTAGATCATGCATGGTTAACATAAATCTTAGTGATTTTCATGAATCTACTGTAACTGTAATCAGATCTAGATTCAATCCAGTATTTTAAGAAAGGATACACAGATGAAAGAAGAATTAAAGAAATTCCCAAGCAAGAAAATTATTTCACAACAGTAGCTATCTATGATAACAGTAAGAGAAATGGAAATAAAAATGAATTATGCAAAATAAAAGAATTTTGAATTTGCAAATAAGCCAGGGAAATGGTTGCATATAAACTGAGAAAAGAAAAAGAGAAAAAAATGATATTAAAATTCCAAGATGTAAATACTATAATAACAGAAATTAAATTATATAAAGGAGAAGAAATTCCCCTGGCAAAGGTTGGTGAATATTTGAAGAACAAAATTTACCAAAGATCATAGAAAAACAGAAACAATTAATGAATGGATCCATTACAATGAATGGACCCATTACAATAAATCAAAATTGGGAAAGTGCCTGGACCAGATGGTTTACCAGCCTCTTATTATAAACATTTTGAAGATTAATTTTTAGAACCATTGCAAGACTTGATGAATTGTTTTACCAACTGGAAGGATACCAGATAGTTGGATGGAGATTAATGCAGCATTAATACTTAAAGAACGCCAAGACCAAAAAATTATCGCTCAATATCATTACTGAATAATGATTATAAGTTATTTACAATTATTTTAGCTGAGAGAATGAAGATGGTTTTACAGGACTTTATTCATGAAGATCAGTGTGGGTTTTTACCTAAAAGACAGCTAAGGGACAATATTAGAAATATATTGGATATTTTGGAATACTTAGAACAACATAATGAAAAGCTAGCAGCATTGATTTTTCTTGATGCAGAAAAGGCCTTTGACAATTTGAACTGGATTTTCTGTTTAAATTTTTGGAAGATACGGATTTTGGTGGGAATTTTATCAAATGGGTAAAATCAATTTATACCTCACAAAAGGTACAGATAATTGTGAATGGAGAGTTAACAAAACCCTGTGAGATACAGAAAGGGACTAGAAAAGGATGCCTCTTGTCACCATTGCTATTTATTTTAGCTTTGGAAGAACTGGACAGAGATATATGATGAGATGACAGAATTACTGGAGTGAAGATTAAAAGAGAAACATATAAATTACAGGTGTTTGCTGATGACCTGGTAATAATTCTGGAAGATCCTCTGGAAGGAATAGAAATATTAATGGAAAAACAAAAGGATTTTGGGGTGTTAGCTGGTTTTAAAATTAATAAACAAAAGATGAAGATGTTAACAAAGAATATGAAAATGGAAAAACAAATGGAATTGATGGAAAAAATGGTTTTAAGATTGAGAAAAAAGTGAAATATATGGGTATCACTATGGCTAACATGAATTGTATGTTATATCAGAATAATTATGTTAAGACATGGAATGAAATCAAGGAGGACATGTTAAGATGGGAGAAATTACAACTGTAGCTGGGGAGAAATTCTGCGATAAAAATGAATGTTTTGCCTAGAATGATGTTTTTTTTAAGACAATACCTGTTTTGACAACTGATGTATCATTTAAGCAATGGCAGAAAGATATATCCAAGTTTGTATAGCAAGGGAAAAAGCCAAGAGTTAAATATAAAATACTTCAAGATGCAAAGGAAAGAGGAGGACTGGGACTGCCTGATTCTATTTTGCAGCCTGCTGCTTGGTCTGGATGAAAGGGTGGGTTTTGCTGAGAAATAAGAGAATTTTAGAATTAGAAGGGCACGATATGGTTTTCTATGGTATGATAAAGTTAAGGTTAATGTAGACTTTAAGAATCATTATATTAGAAGTGCCATATTGAGAAAATGGAGCAATATAAACCCAAACTGTGCCTGAAAATGCCTTTATGGGTCTCAGCACAAGAAGCATTTTGAAGGAAAGAAACAGTAGGTAAAGAAAAATGGTTAACTTATTGAGAATTGTTAGAACAGGAGTATGGAGAATATAAGATGAAATCAAAAGAGCAACTGGCTGCAGAGGGATTTAGTTTTCAATGTTTTTTGTATGCACAATTAAGAGAAAAATTAAATGTAGATAATAGGACATTTGGAATTGAGCAGCAGAAGACAGAATTTGATCTATGTACAAAGGATGAACATGCAATTGCTAAAATGAATACACTTTTATTGAAATTTGAAATGGAAGAAGAATAAGTGAAAGACTGCATGATATAATGGGCTAAGAACTTTGGACACAATATATTGATGGAACAGTGGGAAAATATGTGGTTAAAAGGGTTGAAATTTATATTATGTTATAATCTAAAAGATAATTTTCATAAAATGATGTACTGTTGATATATGACTCCAGAAGAATTGTATAGAATGTATAAAGATATTTCAAATTTATGTTGGAAATGTGGACAACATGAAGGGTCATTTTATGCCTGGTACATTTGTAAAAAAAAAACCCCAGAAATTTCTGGATTCAAATACATATAAAGATACAAAGAATTTTAAATTGAAACCAGAACTTTTCTTGCTGGGCTTAATGGACAGTCAATTGGAAAAGAACCAAAGAAGATTATTCTTATATATGATTACTGCTGCAAGACTATTATATACGCAAAAATGGAAAGACTCTGAAATACCCACAATGGAGGAATGGTTGGCGAAGATGACAGAATTAGCAGAGATGGCAAAATTAACTTGTTTGATTAGAAAAAGATGAACAACTACATTTATCAGTGACTGGAAACCCCTTATGGACTTTTTGCTGAAAAA